GGAACGAGACCTGATATATTCCACGGTATTTTCAGGCGGTAGTAATCATCGCGATGACTGTGTGTTGAAGATGGCTGTGGCTCGTAGCAATCTAGCGAACGAACACGACCAACGGATTCACTCAGACACATAGACACGGGTCTATAAATACACATGTGATGCAATGAGGATACGGGATTCACGTAGAGAATTACGTAATTGCAATCTGTCTTGTGCAACGAATTTCGTATCATCTTTGAACAACTTCATTCAGAATTAATAACTCCTCTGGAAATGCTGGTATACGCGATAAACATCTGTTTCCACCGTAGACAAGCGTAGCGGTCCGTGTTACACGTTATATTGTTACGCCGTCTTTTACAGAAATGAAATAAAACGCTTCCGGTGGATTCATCCTCTCTAGAATATTCTTGATGAATTAGTTTCAAGTGATATGTTTGTTATATCACGAATCTATCGTTATTTATATTTTTTTTTTTTTTCAGAAATTATTTTGCATGTTTGCATGTTTGATTGCGCTGGCGAATAAGCGTCATTTGCAAAGAACTTTTACAAGTCTTATTAGTATTGATAAGTACGATTACTCGGGATTTCGTCTACAGTCCTGTGTCTTTAAGCTGAAAGTTATTGCGAAGTTGAAACAAAGAGACTAGCAATTAACTTAAGACAAACAATTTGTACAAAGATTAAAAGCAATAAAGTTATTGTCTAACTACATAGCTAAACTACGAACTTACAAATTATCCAAATTTATTCTGCATGTGGAAGATGTCCCTCTAAATTTTCCTATTCTTCATTCACCGTTATTTAAATATACATATATATCTTTATTTAATACTCACGGTCACATCGTATATCTACAACGTATTGTTACACTGCAGTATACGCTTCAAGAGACCTCAGAATCAAGGTTTCTTGTTCTCTCGGAACTCGTGACAGTACCCCAGTTAGTAACAATTACTGATGTTTCGACCATACTAATTTCTCAACCAGCACCGATTAACGTGCAATTATGAACGCACTTTTAATGATCTTCTTGCTGACTATTTTATCAACGTCGCGTGAGTAGTTGACGTTACGCTCAAGTTCCATGACTGGCCGTCATCGAGTTTCAAATGGGAAAGATCGTGCGCATGGCGTGCATGGGATACATACAGAGTGCAAAAGTTTCGTTCATAGTGATTTTTTTTTTAATTCGTTGTGGTTCAGTCGACGTTTTGTGGTAAAAGTTTGCTCTTCAACGTAGATAGAGACAAATTTAGTGAACGAAACTAAGTTGCGAGAATGGTTTTGATAATTGGGAATCGTACTGAAACTGGACTTTACTTACTTTTCCAAAACAGAGTTAGTGAAGAATATTTATTAAATTTTCATATTTTCTCTCCTAAACTTCTCTGAACAAATTTTAGTAGACCGATCCGTTTTTTGAATCAAATTTCTAAACTCAGAGTTTTGTTAATTGCTCTCTAATATAAAACTGACAAAACCTGTTTTATACGCTCTTTCGTAACTCTCGCTTCTTTTGGAAGAGATTCGCGGTTATCAGTAATGAAGTCATCAATAATGTAATGATAATATTTGCAGCAACAACGCGATAACATTCAGGTATTTCTTTTAATTAAAAATTTATCGTTACGTTATTATTACCATTTTGTTAATAGCTGATCAGAGCGATAATCGTGTTAAAGGGAAATCCTCCTCCTCGGTCGTGGACGAAACAAAGTTAAGGGACAGCAGAGCCTCCTCGCGTTGGATTAGACCGGATTAAATCTGGATTTCCACCTGGATTATACCATCGTAACCTTTTGAACATGGACCGCCTTTCGATGATTCGGAGGATCCATCTGATGGTTGACCTAGATTTTCATCTGGCTTTAATCTGGACGATGGTCCACCTGGCAAAGAAAGACGGAATTTCAACTATAATAACGGCAAACCAGAAAGAAAATCAAAAAGTAGAAACAAAGTTGAATCACGCGATGATGAAAAGAATCGAGTCCTCGAGTGTGGGATCTCTTAATGATAAAATTCGGTGCAGGTGAGTTTCAACTTTTCATTGAATAAAGGTAAAAGATACAATGACTGACACAGACTTTCAAGTAAAATGAAACGTACGAACGATCGAAACGTTTGATTACGGATATTACGAGGACATTAGGCTGTGCGATCGGTAAGAGTACTTGCGAAGATGAGCAATCTAAACGATCAAGGACAACTAGTGATTCGGTCACGTAACTACTGAATATCATAGGATTGATTGTGCGGAAGATGCCTTGGATAATTCAGAGATGACAAGCAGCCCGATGTTAAACGTTATGTTGCCCTAAGATAATAGGAACATTGTTCCCAGATGATCTCGATCTGTCTGTGGAATGAGGAATTGTCCTAAGACCTTTAGAATCAAATGAATGCCTCAGTGAATTGTCTAGCCTCGCAGTCAAAATATTCTCTTTTCATAATTCCTGATAATAATCACGTTATGCTTTAACCAAGGCGAAGCGTTAAGAAATTATCGAGTTGAAAGAGAAAGAAAAAATATACGACAAAGTAGTAGATTTTAATTTGAGAATGAAAAATAAAATGAAATATATATGTAGTTTGACAGATTGAAGGATATGTCTGGATATCCAAGTATAATGGACGCGTATGACACTCGTGTATGACAGATATTTCAGAATTTGCATGAAACGAAGATTAGGTACGGAGAAAACGAATAGATTTTAGACAACAAACACGTATTTTTGATATTTCCACTATCTGTCGTATTTCGAAATCACCTTTATTGCAAGTTGCTCGTATTTTCACTGTCGACATAATTCACGAATCGTGTAATAAACCTGTCACGCGAAATTAATAGTAAATAGATTCGTGACAATTAAATGCAATATGATACGCGTGTCCGCAGAAGCACATTTCCACGAAATATCTATGAAATATTTCGTCCATTTAAATTGTCTTAATGAATTTCAATTAACTAGAAGTGACAAACGCGCGCGCGGCAGATCACTGGTGGAAATTCAATCTGGCGAACAGGAGATCTACTCGTGGAAAACGGCGATGGAAACAAGAAGAGTATGTTTGCAGCTTGATTTCGAATCGTTAGCCTCGTTTCCTGTTGCCGTACGATTTTTCGTTCTGTATCAAACAGTTCTTTCCTTCCCTCTCATTCTTCCGTGGAAATTCTGTAAAAACGAAAATTTAAAAATTACCGAAAAATTAGCTCAATCAGCTCACACTCGTTTCAAAATTTCAATATTTCCAGTATCAAAAAAAAA